GTGGAACCCTCATACCTAGGATAGTGCATCTTTTGCCTTCCAATCGGTGGAGTCTCCTTCTGCTCCCTTCCTTCAGATGTGTCATCTAGTCCCCTCTCTGCATTAGTACCTGTAGAGAGAACATGGAAACGATTGCTCACCTGTATCTCCATTGCTGGTACATGGACGCTCCTCTTTCTCCTTCTGGAGGTCACATGCTGCCAAACTTCTTCACCATTCTTCTGCGCCTGCTCTGAATCTTCAGAACATTGTGGCCGTAGAAGCATTTCCTGACGTCTGTCCAGGAAATCTTCATTTTCCCTTATGCAACGCAGAGTCGATACTCGTTTCTCCAGCCCTCGAACCTTCTCTTCCAATATGGAGATCAGCTTGCACTTTGTATAGACAAAGTCACTTCTGTCCTGTGGAAGAAAGACAGACAAACAAACATGGCACAACCTGTGCAGGTTACAACAGCTGATCGCTCACCTTCCATATCACCTTCCTCTTAAGAGCTTCCTCAGCTGTTGCAGTAACTAGTCAGAGAAACCCACAGATGAAAGCCTTAGTGCACTCTTCCCAGGCGAACTCCCAGGCAAACTCCCTCTGTTAGCCTCTGCTGTTCGCCGCTCAGCTGGTTGTTTTATTTTTGAATGCAGTTTTTTTTGTACATAATTCAACATTTGTAAGTTCAACTTTCATGATAAAGAGATTGCACTACAGTACTTATATTAGGTGAATTAAAAAACAAAAGAAATAGTATTTTCACAGTGCAAATATTTGTAATAAAAATAAATATAAAGTGAGCACAGTACACTTTGTATTCTGTGTTGTAATTGAAATCAATATATTTGAAAATGTAGAAAACATCCAAAAATATTTAAATAAATGGTATTCTATTATTAACAGTGCAATTAATCGTGATTAATTTTTTAATCGCTTGACGGCCCTAGTAATTATTATTAGGAGTACAAAATTACCCTTTTCTCACCATAACGCTGAACAAAATATAAACACAGTGAACCAAGTTTCTTATATATCTTAACACAACAGTATTTGTACCAATACATTTAGCTTTATTAATTGGTTACCCCTTGTAACAATCCAATGTTGTGATCACAGTGCTATATAGATACTTTCTGGGTACCTCAAGATTTTCATTCTTCAGTCTCTCAAAGTACAACTGAAAAAAATTCAGGAATATTCTCATTTTAGAATGAAGATGACTAAGTTGAGCAGAACATGCGGATTGACTGGCAAGTGTTATAAAACAGATGATTAATCAAGGTGAACAATAAACTTTTCTAAACTATTGCTCAATTACACAAAATTGAGTGCTGCTATCTAGTTAAAAGTGCAAAACTACACATTTTGTCCCTAGCAAAATATTTTCAACTAGTTTTAAAGCAGGTTATAGTACAATCACACAGCTGGAGGATGTATCCAGCCCAGCCATGTTTCATGTCTTATAATGCCCCAGGGGCCTGGTTATCTCATGATTACCATGCCACCTCTTGAGTCTTAGTACTATATAATTTATGCACTGAAAGAGACAATTCAATTAGCCAATAATAAAATTAGAAACAAAGATAGCGTGTGTGTGTGTATATATAATATATATATATATATATATATATAATGAATAACATTCTGATCATATTATTTAGAGGAGACAAAGTGGAATGGAAAAATAAGAGCATATTTTGTGTGTTTAATGAAGGAGGAAAGTGTGTTCATAGCTCTTATTTTCCCCTTTGTAAAAATACAAGATTCAACAGTCAGAATTAAGCTGACTGGTAATGATACAATATTAAAATTATTTTGATTTGAATAGCAAATATTGTATACAACTAATTACCACCAGAAAAACAAAAATACTTTTTTTTTGCTTTTTTCAAAGTATATTTAGTCTTTTATTTAGTTGTATTCTGTATTGCAGAACGTATTGTTTTATTATTATTTTATTATTAAAGATAAGAATCTCTTGTTTATCCTTTGGTTACTTGAGAAACTTAGTTACCAGGAAAGTCAACAGCCACTGTTTAGCAGCAAACCCTCCCATCTCAAAGAAACCAGGTGCCACAAGCTAATATTTTTACAGGATTTGCTTAATTTCTTTCAGTAGTTCTTAACACAAAATTACTTTCTCTCTTCAAGTTCACAGGGACATGTTGTCTAAGTATTCTTTACTTTGCAACTAGTCGTCATAATAACCAAACTTTCAATGACTAATAGTTTTCCCTTTGTTAATCTTCTTTTAAGAGTCTTTCTGTATTTGCTTTCTTTGGTAATGTATGTGGATAATGTGACGTTCTGCTTTTCCTAAGAATGGTCCAGAAACCTTATTGCATCATTCCCAACAGGCTGAACCATCTGAAATGTCGGTTAGGGTGAGTGCTGCAAGCAAGCAACTGTATAAGAATCTGTGGCCATTCTTCATCTCAGCCTAGATCCTCACCTGCGCCATCTATAATGCAGGTTACGGTGAGTCCCAGAGGTACATTTTTAAAAAAATGTTTGATGACCAAACAAGAAATAGTTAAATATCATTATGAAGGGACATGCAGTATAGCTCAAAATTATGTAGGGAGAGTATGGTTCATAATAACCCACCTTCTCTTCTCTGAAGAAATCCAGGAGTAGAAACTAGATTTGAAGAAGTCAATTTTTTTTTTAAGTGAAGTAAAACTTATAATTTTTTTCTTGCTTTGAAGCACATAGGGCCAGAATTTGATCCGACATCATGCTGCTTTTCCCCCGTAATGCCAGCTTAACGGGATGGTATGTAAGAAAATAACTTGTACTGTCAACGTTTGTTTTATCTTTCATAAAAAGATCATAATTCTGCACTGTTTTAATGCTTGATCAAATGCAAACACTGGTCACCCTAGAGGTTATAGGGGCTGGGGAGGGGGAGGGAGAAAAGATTAGTTGGGAAGTAAGGGGTATTGGGATGTAGGGGTAAGTATGGATAATGAGGGGTGTAGGATGGAGAGCTTTGTTGGGATGGCACAGAAGAGAAGAGGACAAGGGGTATAAGCAGGGGTGGGCAGGAATAAAAATGTGGCCACTTTTGGAGAGGCACTTTCTGTGCCCCCACTGCCGGAGGAGCTGTGTCTCCAGGGCCGGCTCCAGGCACCAGCATTCCAAGCAGGTGCTTGGGGCGGCAATCTGCAAGGGGCAGCAGTCAGTATGTTTTTGCCGCCCCAAGCAGCGCGCCGAATTGCCGCCGTGGACGGTGGGGGCAGTCCGTGTGCCGTTAGGGCGGCACGCACGTTTCCGCGGCGGCGGCAATTCGGCAGCAGCTTCTATGTTCAGCTGCCCGCGGTGGCAATTCGGCAGGTTCTGTCTTCCGGCTGAAGACAGAAGCTGCCGCCGAATTGCCGCCACCACGGAAACGCACGTGCCGCCCTAAAGGCACACGGACTGCCCCCACCGTCCGCGGTGGCAATTTGGCGTGCTGCTTGGGGCGGCAAAAACAGTAGAGCCGGCCCTGTGTGTCTCCCCACCTTGGCCCCAGTGGAGCTGGTTCTCTGCCCCCATCCTCCACAGCCCCTGGGCCGGTGTCCCCCTCCCTCAGCAGACAGAGAAGCTGGATCTCCCCCTCCCCCCGCTGCGGAGCTTGCTCTCCCAGCCTTGGCTCTGAAGGGGGGGGGGGAGGGGAGAGAGAGAGAGAGAGCGCGCTGATTGTAAGGGATCAGAGGGGTGTAGGATGAGGGGATGTGGGGTCGGTGGTGGGTAGGGGCTATAGGGGTGTGGGGTCGGTGGAGGTGTAGGGGGTCAGTGGGGTGTGGGATGAGCACGTGTGGGGTTGTGGGGGGTAAGGTAAGGGGGTGTGGGGTTGATGGGGGTCAGGGGGTGTAGGATGAGGGTGTGGAGTTGGTGGAGTGTAGGGGGTCAGTGGGGTGTAGGGTCGTGGGGGGTCAGTGGGGTGTAGGATGAGGGGGTGTGGAGTCAGTGGGTAGGGAGTCAGTGGGAGGTAGGATGAGGGGGTGTGGAGTCAGTGGGTAGGGAGTCAGTGGGGTGTGGCGTTGGTGGGGGTGTACGGAGTTGGTGGGGGATAGGACGAGGGTGTGTGTGGTCAGTGGGGGTAGGCGGTCGGTGGGGTGTAGGATGAGGGGGTGTGGGGTCAGTGGGCGGTAGGTTGAGGGGGCATGGGTTTGCCGGTGGGTAGCAGGTCAAAGTGGTGTGGGGTTGGTGGGGGTATAGGGGGGTCAGAGGGGTGTAGGATGAGGGGCTGGGGTCATCAACTTGTCCATACACGGACACAAGTGTCTGTGGTATAAATAGGAGTACTTGTGGCACCTTAGAGACTAACAAATTTATTAGAGCATAAGCTTTCGTGGGCTACAGCCCACTTCGTCGGATGCTGTAGCCCACGAAAGCTTATGCTCTAATAAATTTGTTAGTCTCTAAGGTACCACAAGTACTCCTGTTCTTTTTGCGGATACAGCCTAACATGGCTGCTACTCTGAAACCTGTGGTAAAAATGTTGAGGTCCATGGTAATTTTTCAAAAAATTGAATGACTGAATGACATAACCCCCCCACCCCGATGTCCATCACTAAGTACGATAATTTTGTTAAGTGTCCGTCACAAAACATGGTGTTGCCCACCCTGAAGAGGGAGTGTAGGGGGTCAGAGGGAGTATAGAGGGGGAGGGGTGTAGGGGGTCAGTGGGGGACGAGCAGGCGCTGTTCCGGCACCAGCAGGGCCCGGTGGCCCCTCACAGCCCTGCCTGGGGCCCTGTGCCCAGCTAAGAGCGGCTCCGGCAGCAGCTCGGCGGTGCTATCCCCTCGATTGTCCCTCTCCGGGTTTCCCTGCCGTCCCCTTCGCGCCGCGTTTTCTCTCTTTCCAGGCGGAGTGTGGGATTCTTTGCGGGGGCGGGGGAAGGTGGTGCTCCGCGCGCGCCCCCGGCGGTTGGTCGTCGGAGGAGCGCGCCGCCTCCCGCTGGGAGAGAGACGGGAGAAGAGAAGTGCGTTTGGCGCATGCGCCTGGGCGGCGGTGGTTGGGGGCGGAGTGCGGCGAATGCCCCTCTTGCTGTGTGCGGGAGACGTGAAGCCTGGCGCTGGGACCGGCCCGCGATGGAGTGACTCCCCTCCCCGGCCTTTCTGCACGGACGGTGCTAGCCCCGCGGAGCCCGACCAGGGCAGCCCTCTCTTCAGGCCGCCGCAGCGGCAGCGCCCGGTTAAGGGCGAGCGGACCCCGTCCGGTCGGAGAAGCCCCCGGGGGAGGGGCAGCTGCTGCTGGGTGCCCGGCTGCCGGGCTCGGGGCGCAGAGCGATGGCGGCGCGGGGAGCCAGGCGGCTCCTCGGCTCCCTGTGGATCGCCCTGCTCCTAGGGCAGCCGGACCTGGCCGGTGCCGCCAGGAGCAGCTCGCAGAGCCCCGCAGGTAACGAGCCGGGCGATCCCCTGTGGCAGCGCGCGAGGGCGGTGTGGGCGGGGAGCTGGCGGGCAGAGGGGCTCCGCGCCGCGCGGAGGTTGCGCCTGGTCGCGGGGGGGCTGCAGTAGTGGCCTGGCGCGGCGCGCAGGGGCTGCCCGGGGTGACCGCTCCGCCCGCGCGCTGGAGGGAAGAGGCCGATGCGGCCGGCCGGGCAGGCGGCTCGCTGAGGGCGGGGAACGGTAGCCCCGCGGCTTTGGAGAGGTCCAGGCTGGGCATTTACAGGCACCTTTCCCCAGCTCTGGGAAGGTCCGTTCCACTTGTGAGAGCGGGACAGCCTTGGGCACCTTACGTGCACCAGTAGAGGCCACTGCACATCTCCTTCAGTAGAGTTATCCCTGCCACTTTTCGGTACTGGGAGGGACACAGGAGGCACCTGGGTCCAGTTTCCCTCAGCATTCCCCGTAGGCTTCACCAAGGACCTCCGTTTCCTGCTCTCATTGAAATCTATGGACAAACTACTATTGAAATCAGTGAGAGCAGAATCGGGCCCTAGCTGAGCTGCAAGACCAGACCTGCTTTGCTGATTTCAGCAGGGACTGCTTACCAGCCGAAAAATGACGACCTGCGGAGGGTGATCCTGTTGGGTAAATGAGAGCCAATAAGTATTTTTTTATTTAAAAATTATCGAAAAAAGTCCCATTTTTTTTGTCTTTGGGTGGGAAGAAATAGGGCTAGATTGTGTCACCCCTCAAAGTGACCACTAATGATCTTCTACATTGCTTGTGCCTCTTTTGCCTGTTTAACACTGGGATTGGCAGGCATACAAGACTTTAAATTAATGGTTTTGCAGCATTTCATTTTTTATAATAGTCACACTTGTCAGATTTTTACTGTTCATGATCTTAGTGTTTCCATTATGAATTCTGATTTTCAGGGGTTTAAAAATTAAATCACATCCAGTTGAAATGTGATATATGAATTAGTGTTTTCTAAATCTTACAAAGAATGTTAAATCTGTTAAATATGTTATAGAATGCTTATCAAGTCTTTAATAGTGTAAGCTGCTTAGTTTGCAAAGCTTTTGCTTAAAAAAAAAAAAAAAAAACTTTTGTCCCTTTGTTGGCATTTGAATTCATGCTGAAAAAAATCTGGTTTCTAGTGCCAAGAAATACCTTCAACTTTTGATTGGAAATCTATTGTAGCTTTTGCATTTTGACATTTTAAAGATAGTGGTGGTGGTGAGGTTTTGTTTGAAAAAGAAATTATTGATCAGGCAGTGGAGTTTCTTCATAGAATTGACTGAATAGCTCTGTTATTACATGGTATAGTATGGCTGTTTCAAATCACATTAGGCAGGAACTTGGCATGGGGGTTGTCAGTGTGGGTCCTGCTATAAAATATGTATGTATGGTGGCTGATATTTACATGACAGGAGAGTATTTGTCTTTACAAAATGCAAGTTTTGTAGGTTCTAACTCTGAAGTATGGCCTGTACCTTACGAAAAGGATGTTAAAAATGGGATATAGAGAAAGATGTAGTGAAGTGGGAAGGGACCCACAGAGAGAGAGAGAGAGAGTACTAAAAACATGCTATATATGTTGGAACCAAAAGAAGATTCTCTGGAAGTTGGCTTGAGTCTGTGGCCTGGAGCCAATTAGGTGATTTTTTTTAAATGACCTAGGGGAAAAAAAAGTACTATATTTTTATCTTTGGATGGGAAGAAATAGGGCTAGAATTGTGTCACCAATCTGAAAATGACCAATTAGTGGTGATCTACAAAGATTGCTCATGCCACTTTTACCTCTTAGCACTGGGCTTGGATGGCATATAAGATTTTAAACTTCAGATTGTTTTTGCAGTTATTGCATGTCTTGGAATGATATTAGACAACTGCACTTGGAAAACAAATATTTTGTTCCTCTAGTACAGGGGTCGGCAACCTTTCAGAAGTAGTGTGCTGAGTCTTCATTTATTCACTCTAATTTAAGGTTTTGAGTGCCAGTTAATACATTTTAACATTTTTAGAAGGTCTCTTTTTATAAGTCTATAATATATAACTAAACTATTGTTGTATGTAAAGTAAATAAGGTTTTAAAAATGTTTAAGAAGCTTCATTTAAAATTAAATTAAAATGCAGAGCCCCCCAGACTGGTGGCCAGGACCCAGGCAGTGTGAGTGCCACTGGAAAATCAGCTCGCATGCCATAGGTTGCCTACCCCTGCTCTAGTATATAAAATATAATGTACTTGCTGGGTGCTGCAGGTGTATTAATTTACCCTTCCTTTACTGTTGGTAAGAGTATTACCAGGCTTAATGTCCCAAGTCACCATTTATGATATAATTCCTCTTGTCTTAACTATTTATGGAATGATTATTAAATTCCCCAAATATGTTGTTTGATTTAGGTCAAATATATCTAGTTCTCTGACCCAAAGAGGTTAGACATGAAATGGCAAGGGAAGAAAAAAACAGAAAAAAAAAACAGAAACAGATAGGGGTGGGGAGGTCAAGGTTTATTTACAGTTATAAGATCATGAGTGTGCTTGTGTGATTTTGTGCAAATCTTTTGTTTCATTAAGAATTTTTGTATATATTTAACTTGCAAAATAATTATAAACACAGGACACTAAAGGAATTACTGCTGTCATAGAGTTTAAGGCCAGAAGGGACCACCAGATCATCTAGTCAAACCTCTTGTATATCACAGGCCACCAACACCACCTGCATAATAAATCTAATACTTGTCATACATGTATATTGACTATTCAGCATATAATTTGACATGTAAGTGACTTGATTGAAAATAACTCCTCCTAAGCTATGCATGATGTATTGTTTTGGCATTTGCATAAGTGCCCATAAATAGAGTGCAGTGAAAGGCCATCTTGATGTTTTTTTCTTTGTGATTAAAGAATGACTTGCAATAGTCTCTCTATCTGGACTTTATGCAACAGGAATACAGCATAGTTTGTAGCAGCTGGTTGGTTTGGTTTAGTCTTCTGTACTATAAGTTTTTCTAACTTTTCAGCCATAGTTGTTAAAAGAGCAAAGTGAATGGACTCAGTTACAAGGGTATTATGTAGAATCTTTCTAGATAGTGCTTTATGTAAAGTTTGTTGTTGTTTTCTCGAGTGGAAGTCAGTACAGTGCTACTTAGCTAAGTTGTAAGTGGGTGGTTTGTTTCTTTCAGTCTCACTTTTGCTGTGATATTACCTTGTTACTTCACATTTTAGCGTTCTTAAATTTATTTTTTTTTTTTAGTTGTAGGTCCGTTTCAATTAAATGGTTGTTGACTGATGATGAAATTATTATAGTAAACTAATGTATGAATTTACACAGATTTGATCAGTTTATACATATACCTATGTGTAGTATGCATTTGTCACAAACAGGAAGTGTGTGGAAAATATTGTCATTTTCATTTTAAATTAGATTTCTTGGCTTAGTTGTGTTCCTCTTTTCTTTCTATATAAATAATATAGTACACACTTGGTTATTCTTGGCTATAAAGTATCCTGGTGGTTTGCAAGAGATCAGACTTTTGTCACTGTTCTATTCTAGGAGTGATTATTGCCAGGGCAGTGTAATATGGGGAAGTGAGGGGAGAGGTGCCACATTTTTGTTTGAAGGTTTTATAAATGTTGGGTCTTTGAAAGTTGTTTAGAGGCTTGCATTGTTAGTTCTGGTGGAGCTGAGTTCATGTCTTGAGTGTAGGTGAGGAGGACAAAGGTGCATGATAAATATGACTTCTGTGGATATCATCACATATATATTATGTATCTTAATGAGAAACCATTAATTTATTTACTTTGAAAGAGAAGATAAAATTATGCAAGCATCCTCAGAGAAATCTAAACACAGCTCAGGCGTCTTTGTTTTTTTTTTTTTTTTTTTTTTAAATAATATTCAGCTAGCTCAATTTTTTGTGGCTTTCTATCTGCATGAGATTTTCAAAAAATATTTAATGCATGCTTTTCTTAGTCAGCAATAGGAAGCAATGAGGGTGCATGGAAATGGAACAAGATGGGTATTTTCAAGAAAATTACATAAAACAATACTAACGTTCTTTTGGCAAATATATTTCTCATTTATGTAACAATACATAATTTCTAAATTGCAGCGTATAGATCACTTTGGGACAGAAAACAGGTGTTGCGGTAATTTTAGCCTTTTAGAAATCTTCAACTTCATGAAGTATATGCCATCACAGATATGATCTTTTTTTCCTAAAAATGCATAAGGATTTGTTTTCATTGTCACACTTTGTAATGCATGTGTGAGAGGAGAAAGAGTAATGAAATTGTTGCCATTATCTAATATTTATATTAGTTTTTTTGTGAGGAATCTGGGTTCTGGCTTAGAGAGAGAGGTTAATGAAATGAAAGTAGGCTTGATTCTGCTTCCACTGAAATTAATAGCCAACCTTCTCTTGATTTCAATGGCTGCAAGATTAGAACTCAACTGGCTGCAAGATCAAGATCACTATTTCTCACGTGTCTAATTAAAAGAATTTTTTTTTTTTTTTTTAGCTAACATTGCTTTCTTTTCACAATCTCCCATCATTGCAGTACCAGTGTTCCTTTGATTTGTTATCCATTTTCTCTAGACATTCATCTACTCTGCTAAATATTGGTTACCTAGCTCCTTAATGGCTTCACTTGTAAATGATAACAAATATTTTCTTGCATATTTTCTTTCATAGTTGCCCTAATGTTACTCTCCCCCCTAGCAAGCCCTAATGAGACTGACTGATATATATGGAGAAAAGGCACAAATCAATTATGTACTCTAGTAAAATGCAATAGTAGGCTTTTCTTTTGGTAGTGATGTATAGGAGAAATCCCAAAACTTGTTTAGTAGTGGTGTAATAACCAGATTGGTTGGTATGTCTATTTCTTAACTACAACAGACATTTAATGTGGTGCATGGTAATATGATAGTAATAAATCTAGTAGTTAAATGTGACATGTTAAAAGTAGGCTATGACATGCCCAAAGTATGATAGAAA